AATTTCACAGTTAAAGTGAATTAAATAATGCAATACCGACAAAGGAACCACAGAACTTGTACAACATATTTCTTGTAGGAATGTAAAATCATCTGTTTTCTCTTGGTTTACTTGAAGTTTGCTATTTAATCATTTATTTCTTTATTTGTGGGGTTAGTAGGGAGGCGGGTGCCATTTATTTTGAACTTTCCTTTTTCTTCCGTTTATTTTAGCAAGGGAGTTAGCTTATTTTGCTGTAGTCTTGATTTCTTTTCTTTTAGTTTAAGTAGTTTGGTTAATAAGGAGTTAGACTGATTGTGTTTGTTGTTTTGGCAATACCCTCTTCTGAATCTGATACCCCTCTTTTTCTTTTGCTTAATTTGTAAATAAAAGCTACTTTCTTTCATGAAATATTATGTGGTTATTTGGGATGTTGTGAAACAATTCTGGGTATGGAGACGGGGTGGCTTCATGCTGTTGCACATTCATTTCACCACCATCTATTTTTGCTGTTGCTTTCCTCCCCTAGACCAATCAGGAAATCGTAACAGTTGATTATTATTGAGAACTTTATTTTATAACGGTAAAGCCCAGACTGACCCTCAAGACCTGTCATAAAACCTGGCTACACTCGACATGTGCAAAGACCAGGAATTCACCTTTTAACCGGGTCTGTCTCAATGTTCCACTGATGAAATCAGAGAGCGAACAGCAGATGGCTGCACTCGTGAAAGCAAAGAGAAAGAAATCTTTCCATCTTAACCATGAGGTCACCAGTGACATTTGAGTTTGCTTTAGATTGAGACACTAGCCAGAAGGACACCTTGCAGTGACTATGATTTAATGCCAGTGTGTGTGTTCCCTCTGTCCTGTCCCTCTACAAAGGCCTTCGATGGGTCTGGACACAGAAAACAGCTTGTTGGTACAGCTGGGCATTTTTTTGCAGGCATCTTTTCACTCAAATATTTAAGCATCCTATCTTGGTCTATCATGCGAAGACTGTCCAATGTCTGTCTGGAAAAGGCTGGAAAAAGTCTAACTTCCCATTCAAACCTCTTAAAGACACAGTACTTCCAAAAATATAAAATAGTGTCACCAATTACTCACCATCATGTCATTCCGAACCTGAATTACTTTGTTTTCAATGGAAAACAAAGAAGATTTTTAGCAGAAAGTTCACGTTGCCCTTTTCCTTAATGAAAGTGAATGATAACCTTTTGGTGTCAAGCTCCAAAAATGACAAAAAGCACAAGGTAGTGGATCGCACACCTTATGAATAATATTCCAAAACTTCTGAAGCCATATGATAGGTTTACATAAAGAAAAAATCAGTCTTTAGATTGTACAAGAAGTAATCAATTTCATTTTTTTTTAAAAGGCCGTTACCATGTCTTGACCGTTGGGGGGACCAAAGGTTTTGTTTTTGGAGTAGAAGGAGCAGTGGGAGGTTTGGAGGGTTCTGGAGTAGAAGGAGCAGAGGGAGGTTTGGAGGGTTCTGGAGTAGAAGGAGCAGTGGGATGTTTGGAGGGTTTTGGAGTAGAATGAGCAGTGGGATGTTTGGAGGGTTCTGGAGTAGAAGGAGCAGAGGGAGGTTTGGAGGGTTTTGGAGCAGAAGGAGCAGCGGGATGTTTGGAGGGTTTAGAAGTAGAAGGAGCAGCGGGATGTTTGGAGGGTTTTGGCGTAAAAGGAGCAGTAGGATGTTTGGAAGGTTCTGGAGTAGAAGAAGCAGAGGGAGGTTTGGAGGGTTTTGAAATAGAAGGAGCAGCGGGATGTTTGGAGGGTTTTTGAGTAGAAGGAACAGCATGATGTTTGGAGGGTTCTGGAGTAGAAGAAGCAGCGGGAGGTTTGGAGTAGAAGCAGCAGCAGGATGTTTGGAGGGTTCTGGAGTAAAAGGAGCAGCAGGATGTGTGGAGGGTTCTGGAGTAGAAGAAGCAGCGGGAGGTTTGGAGGGTTCTGGAGCAGAAGAAGCAGCAGGATGTTTTGGAGGGTTCTGGAGTAGAAGGAGCAGCGGGATGTTTTGGAGGGTTTTTGAGTAGAAGGAGCAGCAGGATGTGTGGAGGGTTTTGGCGTAGAAGAAGCAGCAGGATGTTTGGAGGGTTCTGGAGTAGAAGAAGCAGCGGGAGGTTTGGAGGGTTTTGGAGCAGAAGAAGCAGCGGGATGTTTTGGAGGGTTTTGGAGCAGAAGGAGCAGCGGGAGTTTTGGAGGGTTTTGAGTAAAATGAGCAGCAGGAGGTTTGGAGGGTTTTTGAGTGGATGGAGCATCAGGAGGATTGGATGGTTCTGGAGTAGAAGCAGCAGCAGGATGTTTGGAGGGTTTTTGAGCAGAAGGAGCAGCGGGAGGTTTGGAGGGTTTTTGAGCAGAAGGACCAGCAGGATGTTTGGAGGGTTTTGGAGTAAAAGGAGCAGTGGGATGTTTGGAGGGTTTTGGAGTAGAAGGAGCGGTGGGATTTTTGGAAGGTTTTGGAGTAGAAGCTGCAGAAGGAGATTTGGAGGGTTTTGGAGTAGAAGGAGCAGCAGGATGTTTAGAGGGTTCTGGAGCAGAAGGAGCAGTGGGATGTTTGGAGGGTTCTGGAGAAGGAGCAATTGGATGTTTGGAGGGTTTTGGAGCAGAAGAAGCAGTGGGATTTTTGGAGGGTTTTGGAGCAAAGGTTGCAGTGGGATTTTTGGAAGGTTTTGGAGTAGAAGCTGCAGAAGGATGTTTGGAGAGTTTTGGAGTTGAAGGAACAGTGGGATGTTTGGAGGGTTTTGAGGCAGAAGGACCAGCAGGAGGTTTGGAGGGTTTTGCAGTAGAAGAAGCAGCAGGAGATTTGGAGGGTTTTGGAGTAGAATGAGCAGCAGGAGGTTTGGAGGGTTCTGGAATTACATAAATAAGGCCCGCCTCCTTTGATCTGATTAGCCATCACAATCATTTTGACATTGACAAGCGCTGTTAGACCACTGAGGCAGACCAGCCTAAAAATGCAACTTTTAAAACTTCTTGTAGCAGTATCAAGGATATCAAATATTGTTTAGGTGTTGCCATTTCTAATTATTGGGGGGAACTTTCTTCCCTCAATGTCTGCATTCAAATGTTTAATTGATCAAAGGCCCTTATATGTATGTGTAATGAAAGTGGTTAGCAAAGCTGGTGAGATACAAACTTGTCTTTTCTCTGAAATGCTGAAGAACAGTCTGAAACCATTTAGTGTCTGGAAGACATTAGCATTGAGAAAACAAACAAAATTTCCAAAATCAACTGTTTTGAAAGTGTACCCGGCTTCAACGCCGATTTTAACTGATCCAGCAGAAATCTGTTGATGTAAGCCCTGTGGAAGTTGTTCCCTGCCGTATGATATGTTAACCACATTTGGACTCTCTCTCGGCCTCTCATCCACTTTTTCTAAGCCAACAATAACGGGTGACTCTGATTGAGTCAGCAAAGCGTTAATGTGTTTCCTCTACAGTTCTTCCATGTTCCAACCATTTATGTGTGTACAATTCCAGTCTGAACATTATAATGAGGTAAAAATCACCACAAAATAATCAACAATATATCATCTCCAACAACATTCAATCAAAACTAACTTTATAAGTTTTTAAGGAGACATTCACACTAAAGACGATAATGGGAACGTTATTTCATGGTTGCAAAATAATAACCTAAAAATTACCATTAGGGAACCTTCTCTATAAGATATTTTTTGGTCATTTAAAAATTACCTCCCTGCAACGTTCTGGGGAACATTATTTTATGGTTGCAAAGAATAAAACCTAAAAAGAATGTTCCAGAACATTACAATTTAGTCCCCCCCCCCAAAAAAAATAACCAAACAGGAACCAAATACATATAATTAGGGGAACGTTCTGTGTTTGCTGGGACATAATTTTAAAGTTTTAATCATGATTCTAATTCAATGAGTGGAATAGGGAAGTCCACACCACAACTATAACTATAACAACACAGTGGAACAATAACACTGGAATCACTTTCAGAAAGATTTTTTCTAGCTGATGAATGAAAAAAAACATTGACAGCCATTTAGCATTTAAAGCATCAGACGACAAAACTACAGCGGACTTATAATAAACAAAATTGCCCATTGGTGTGTACGCTAATATAGTTATCGTTCTAGGTGTGAATGGCTCTTAAGTGTGACTTGTAATACAAAGCTAATGGTCAAACTATATGAAAACCGTCTCATATACCACGCTAAGGACTTGGTAGGTAAGCAACCACAAGAATTAAATTAGCATTACGCTAACAACTACTCAGAACATCTTATTAATCGAATACAATGGTCTGGCAACCACTCAAAACACCCTAAAATCCAGCCAGAACACACTAGCAACCACTAAGAAATACACTAACAACCATCTAACAAGGTCCAAGAATCCACACGGAATGCAGAAGCAACCAAATAACAATGCGCTAACAACTACCAACATGGAACATGTTATTAATCACACAGCAATGCAAACTACACAGCAACACCCTAAAACAGCTTAGAAAGCGCCCAAAACACCACAGGAAAATAGCAACATGCTAACAACCAACAAAAACACTTCAACAATTGCACAGCAATGTCCTCACAGCCACCAGAACATGCTAGTTATTTGTGGTAGTGAGTTTTTGTAAAGGGAAGCACCACAAAGAAATTAGTTAGTCCAGATCTTATGAAAAAGTATTTGTCCAAGGCAGGGGTGTCTAAAGACGGTCCTGGAGGGCCAATGTCCTGCATATTTTAGCTCCAACTTGCCTCAACACACATCTGGAGATTCCTAGTATGCCTGACAAGACCTTGATTAGCTGGTTTGTGTTTGTTTAATTGGGGTTGGATTTATTCATCGTCAAAGAAAACACACTCTTAACACGTGGAGAAAAGAACAAAAAACACAGTAATGTTCAAGACATTTTAATGTAGTTTCATTAAACTGTAAAGTAAATTCTGACAGAAGTACATCTGATTTGTGAAAAACCACCATTGAGTGTCAATAAACGCTAAGCTCCAAATATCCACTAGAGGGCACCACACTATTTCCTCTAGGTCTAAAAGTCTAAACAAAAGTCATTACAGAGTAAAACAAGGCTTGTAATAAATGAGTGTGAGAACACTTGAAGACTTCCTGAGGTGAACTTTACTCATATGGAGCATTTCTGAGCAAATTATTCACTTCTCTTTCTTAGCAGCGATTCTTCTAGAGCGGCGGAGGCCAACGACCTCAGCCTCTGGGGTCTTTGAGCCAGTGGTGGTTTTGGAGGGTTTTGAGGCAGTCTGTGCCTTTAGGGTGGCACGAGGTTTGGAGGGTTTTGGAGCAGAAGGAGCAGTGGGATTTTTGGAGGGTTTTGGAGCAGAAGGAGCAGTGGGATTTTTGGAGGGTTTCGGAGCAGACGGAGCAGTGGGATGTTTGGAGGGTTCTGGAGCAGAAGAAGCAGCGGGATTTTTGGAGGGTTTTGGAGCAGATGTTGCAGCAGGATGTTTGGAGAGTTTTGGAGTAGAAGGAGCAGTGGGATTTTTAGAGGGTTTTGGACCAGAGGTTGCAGAAGGATGTTTTGAGAGTTTTGGAGTAGAAGGAGTAGTGGGATTTTTGGAGGGTTTTGGACCAGAGGTTGCAGAAGGATGTTTGGAGAGTTTTGGAGTAGAAGGAGCAGTGGGATTTTTGGAAAGTTTTGGAGTATAAGCTGAAGAAGGAGATTTGGAGGGTTTTGGAGTAGAAGCAGCAGCAGGATGTTTGGGGAGTTTTGGAGTAGAAGGAGCAGTGGGATCTTTGGAAGGTTTTGGAGTAGAAGCTGCAGAAGGAGATTTGGAGGGTTTTGGAGTAGAAGGAGCAGTGGGATGTTTCGAGGGTTCTGGAGTAGAAGGAGCAGCAGGATGTTTGGAGAGTTTGGGAGTAGAAGGAGCAGCAGGATGTTTCGATGGTTTTTGGACTGCAGGGGTTTTCAGGGGTTTAGGAGCAGAAGGAGCAGCAGAGGCTTTAGGGCCTCTGTGGACTTTTTGCCGTGGTTTAGTTGACTGAAGTGCCTCCTATGTGAGCCAAAAGTACTTGTCATTGACTATAAATTTGTAGCTGCAGATGGTGGCCCGGTCACACCAAGAACGATAAAGTTTTTTATAAGCGTGCTCCAGATTTGTTGTCTGCAGCTTTCAATGCCCCATCTCTTTAAAGTCGGGTGGATTCTGATTGGCTGCCAATGTTTTTATTGTTAAAAAAAATAGTTCTGAAAGTGATTCAATGATATTGTTCCTCTGTGTCGTTATCGTTAAATCTTGTGTGTTGTCTTGACTATTCTCATAGAATTAGTATGATTATTAAAGCATTATAGTTATTGTCCTTGGTGTAAACGGTCCTTAGAGGGATAGTTTACCCTCAAATGAAAATTAAGTCATAATTTACTAGTTCTAATGCCATATGCCCTTCTTTCTTTTATGAACAACATAAGAAGAAGAAAATAATAATGTCCCGCTCACGCTCGTTCATATAATGGCAGAGACCAGCATCAAGCTTTTTTTAAAAAGAGGCAAAAGTATCACAAAATGATCCCATGCGACATGTTGTATATTCCAAGTGTTCTGGGGGTATAATAATAATAATTAATTACATTTATATAATGCTTTTCTCGGCACTCAAAGCACTTTTACATGGAAGGGGGAATCTCCTCAACCACCGTAAGTATATGATAGAGTTTGGTAATAAAAAAAAAATTAAAAAAACTTTTTACGTATTATTTAACAAAATCCCTGACCTTGACTGTTGGGTCTTCTGTACTCGACTGTGCATTCATGAGACTCCATTAGTGACACAGTTCACTCAGACTCGCACAGAAAAACACACAAGTTGTGAGAAATCAAGATTAACAAAAACGAGACGAGACATGAAGTACAATCCAGGAACCCTTCTTCTCTGAGGTGAATATATCAGTTGTGTTTGTCGTAACAAGAAGTTATTGCGTTTACATCCGTCAACGGAGTTCCAGTCTGGTGATATTGGTCTCAGTGAAGAAAGTACACAGATACTTTTTTGGGATTTCTAGGCATTGTATGTCATGTCGCGTTTCTCACAAATTGTGTGCTTTTTCTGGGCGACACATTAGAACAACACCAGTATCAGTAAATCATGACTTAATTTTAATTTTAGGGTGAACAATCCCTTTAAGTCTTATTTTGTTTGAATGTCTGCAAAGTGCTAAAAGTATCAATACCAAATAGTGGTTAAAAGTGATCGACTAACCTCTTTACTGGACATCTTGGATTCCAGTGCAGATATTTCTGATGTAAGCGCAAGGACATTTACCTTTGCGGAAAAAAGGATCATCTCTAGTGATTTTTTTAACACTTTAAACATACTAATTTCAAACAATGGGGACATGCTCTAGCTAGCAATCACCTTGATTTGGTTGATGTTCTCCTTGTCCTTCTCAATGTCCTTCGTGAGTTGCTCCACCTTTTCCCTACAAACAAAATAAATGTAAATCTAAAATGCTGCTAATCTGCTTTAGCTTGTTGAGGAGAAGTGTAGAATTGATAAATTAGCAATTGAGCAAACAGTTTCCTGGTGGACAATATGAAACTGGAAAGAACATCCCATAGACATACACTGACTGAACAAGACACGAAGAGTTTGGGGTGGGCAACGTTCTTAAAACCATCCAAAACATGTTAGCAAGCGCATGGCAATATCCTAGCATCATGCTAACGAGTTTAGCATAAGTAAGCACCATTCGAAAATGTCAAAACCATTGTGTACAAGCTGTTGGGTTAATACCTCACTACTTGTGCTTTTTCCACCTCCGCCTTGAGTTTGCTGACCTCTGTCTTCTCCTTAGCAGTAGTACAATGCACATCAGCAACCTTCAGTTTAGCAATAAGAGCTTTAAAATCAAGCCCTTCCAGCTGACTAGAGCTGTGGGACCTCAGAAGTATTTCCATGGAAATTTGCTGTATCCGTTCGCATGACGGCACCTGAAACACCAGAGCCAAGTATTGAGATCAGACAGTTGTTTCACAGGCAACAGATTATTAAAATGGCACATTTGAAGAGAAAAATGCATGGCAAATGTGTCAGAGACCTTAGAGAGCTCTGTTTGTATTTTGTCACGTGCAGCAAGGGCCATGTCCCGCATTTGTTTCGTGTTCTTCAGAGACCTCTGCATGTCGCTTAACTCTTGCTGTAAACAATATCGTTCTCTTGGTTCAATTCAATTCTTGAAAAAGAAAATCTTACAATGATAATATTCAGATGATCAGTACAGGCATAAATGGGAAAAATAGGAGAGAATGTTCAAAATTTCATAATACCATTCCACTAATTTATGCGTTCACAGTATGCAACATTTCTATGTTCAAAGAATACCAGGTGACTTATATTTACAAAAATGTGCACATGCAAATTAATAAGTAATATACAGTATAAACTTTGATTTTTGCATTGCATAACGTGAATTGTTTTTAAATAGTAGGTAGTATTTAGTGTGCACTAATTTTCCTTTTTGAAAATATGCATTCATTAACCTGCGCCTGTTGGACTTGCTTTTTCAATTTAGTTTGATAGATAAACTCCAGGTCTGTGTCTGTCCACTGGTATCCCTGCATTCCCTGGATGAAGGTTTCAGGGTCTGCATTCCCAGTTATTGCTGGATATCCATAAAAGAGAATGTTAAAGCAATAATATGATACTCAACAAGAACCAGTGCATATATGTGGTGTGATATCAATACTTACAAATTTAGAAACCGAGAGATAAGTGAATATGATTTCTTATGCCAATGATCAAATGAAATCACCTGATGCAGCTGTAGAACTAGACCTCCTGATGGACATCCTCTCATCTTTAACCTCGGGCTGCTGGAGAACTTCATTTGATCCATTGCAAGAAATGCGCTTAGTTATTTCCTTGGAAAGAATGAACTAATTAAGAAATGTTATCCTTAAGAATGTGAAAATTCTAAAACAATAATAAATTGCATAGTTTAATCGCAAGCTAAAATAATAACATAAGTATTTTTAATGTCAAGTAAAATCGAAAGATAAAACCAAAATGCTAGCTTTTACTTCATAATTATTAATATGAATGTTATTCAATTTTTTATTCATTTATTCTAACTTCGAAAGAACATACCTCAACAATATTATTCACAAATTATTAAATATATTGTTTTAATAATCATGAAACTTTTCTCATTCTGCATTGTGAGTATTTGCAGCGCATTTCTGTATTTGGTTGCGTTGTGAGTATTTCTGTATTTGGTTGCGTTGTGAGTATTTGAAGAGCATTTCTGTATTTGGTTGCGTTGTAAGTATTTGCAGCGTGTTTCTGTATTTGATTGCGTTGTGATTGTGAGTATGTTTGTATTTGGTTGCGTTGTGAGTATTTGCAGCGTGTTTCTGTATTTGGTTGCATTGTGAGTATTTGGGTCAGTGACAAATAAGGTTTGTCAAGATGAGAAAATCTTGTAAAAACTTGTTTTAAAAGCATGCATCAGGTATGTTAAAATGTACATAATGTATTCATGTTGATTTTATGTCATTAAAAATTACATTTGCACCATTTTTTACTAAAGTTAAGACTGAATGTACCTGAATGTGTCAAATGGTGTAACTGCCAAAGAATGAGAAATATTAAATATTTTATCCACCTAGATGGCATGTAAGTGTACTCATAGAAATAAATACTTCACACGAATATGTCGCACGAAAATATATTTTATTAGAGTTATCTCTAAATGTAAATTTTTTTAATCTGTTTTTGCAATATTTGGCAGGACATATGCTAAAAAAAAACCTCGGTTTTCTAAATAATCTTTAACAAATTATTTAAAAATTGTTTAAAAAAAATATGTTATTACACTAAACTTTAATTTAATTAATAACACCCACATTAATTTTCCTGTATATAAATATATTTTTATGAAAAATACCGGTTACGCCAATTGACACAAACCAGTTACACCACCTGATCATGTTGCTTCTAGAGTCAAAGGGCATTGTTTGTTGAAGAAATTGTGACTGAAAATCAAGCATGACAGTCAACAAGTTCAGCAGAAGTGGTTTTATTTTTGTCAATGCTGAAAAAAACTGGCAAGAACTAATGAGGTTCGTTCTCGTGTTACGCAGCACGTTTGAGCTTGAGCAAGAACCAATGAGGTTCATTCTCGTGTCACGCAGCACATTTGAGCTTCAGCAAGAACCAATGAGGTGCATTCTCATGTTACGCAGCACGTTTGAGCTTCTGCAAGAACCAATGAGGTTACTTTGTTTACATTTAACACTTGAAAAGAGTTCCAAATAGTAGGTTAGTTTATATAAAAATTTTAATCAGCAACATAAACTAGTGACATTTGACTAAATTGGCCCCTAACAGAAAGGCTTGTAATAGGAGTCAATAGGTATAACCGGTTACACCATTTGACATTTAAGTTTAAAATCAAATTTGACAGGCATTGTCATGGACACAAATGTAAGCATGTGGCCTTGGTGGTAATATTTAAATGTAATTTTTTTAAGTTAATGCTCATTTTTATAATAATGATGAATTATCAATGTATACCTGGGGTCAAACCATTTGACATATACTTAAGAATACCTGACCATACCCTAAAAATGTCAAATTATCTCACATTTTATGGGGAGTTACTAACATTTGCATGCAGCATTAAGTGTCACCAGGGGTCCTTCTGTGATATAATTTTCTGTCACATGGTCTTCTTACACAATATTAACAAAATGACTCCTTGAATGGTGGTTACACCACTTTGACACTTCAGGAATTTGACTTGACACATGATTCCCCAAATTAATTATAATATTCAGAACAATGGTGTTCCATTTACTTTTAAATAGGCTAGTTCTAATGTAAGATTATGCCAAACTAGCTGACATGGTGTTTTATTGAGAATTTCACATTTTTTAAACAAGATCAATTATTTGGTACAAAGTTTTTACGGTTACACCACATTGACATTTTTTGCAATCATCCCCCAAATATTCTCTCAAAATTAATTAAAAACAGAAATTTTAGAGAATAAGAGAATGTATGCAAGTAATTTGCCATTTTATTTTGTAATTTTAGTATGTGCAGCGCATTTCTGGGTTATGTTGCGTTGCGAGTATTTGCACTGCAGTGTGTTTCTGTATTTGGTTGCGTTGTAAGTATTTGCAGCACGTTTCTTTATTTGGTTGCGTTGTGAGTATTTCCAGCACATTTCTGCATTGGGAGTATTTACAGCACCTTTCTGTATTTAGTTGCGTTGTGAGTATTTCACAGCGTATTTATTGGTTGTGTTTTGAGTATTTGGAGCACACATGTGTTGTCAAACTGATAAAGATGTTTGCTAGTATTTTTTCTATTTGCATGGGGGGGGGGGGGGGTTCAGTCGCAGAGCGTTGAGCTCTGTTTTTTATTTATTTGTATAAATGTTATTTATAATTATACATATTCAGATATATTAATAATAAAAAATACATATAAAACATGTTTTTATTGTTGCGGTGTGTCATGGTCATTTAATCATTACATCAAAAAGCATAAAAACAATAATTAAAAAAAATTGTTCGCATGGGTTATCAGAGACACAAAAATTATTTGTATTCATAGGGGTCATAAAAAGAAAAAGAAAAGAAGTAAAAGAAATCAGGCCTATCAGTCTATTTCCAATATGTGGTAGGCTAATGCATCAAGAAGTTGGAAACAGAAGTGAGGACACAGGCCAAAAAAAAAGTAATATGGCTAAACGAAAAGAAAATGCATTTTTAATACATTGTTAAAGTCATTTTACACACCTGTATTTGTAAAAATAGCTTATTGATTAAATACCTCCGTTGTGTAAGCATGTTTGTTTGTTTGTTTGTTTACCTGGCCACATGGCTCATCTTTGACCACTTTTTCTGATGTTGGAGAATCATCTGGTTTGCTGGGATGCCGGTGTGTTGTGACTCTTTCAATTTTGGATGGAGGTGTCCTCTCTAACTGTCGCCCGCCAGGTACAATGTTTGGATGTTCATCGATTATTGATCGCGCTAGTGAAGGCCTATCATCCGAATCCAAATTAAGCACATTTTTGGTACGTTTCAATTTGCCTCTCTTCGAGCTCATATTAGCAGCCCTGTGTTGTTGTTTTTTTACCTGCTAAAAAGTAGCTGGGTTTGGTTTAAGGACAATACAACAAGCTCTCAAACAGCAGTTCGGGGAGAAAGAAGAAAAGTTACTCCATGTGCTGATCCCTGGTATGTCATTCGACGGCCACTAGACAGCAGCACTTGTAAGCTACTTGTAGCGCTCATTGTTATCAAGCGGTTTAAATCATGACAGATGCAGTACAACTTAGATTTTTAGCTGATTTTCGCTAGTAAATATTACTTTTCTTTTCTATACCATATATACTGTTCCAAAATTCAATTGTAATCTTTACGCAAGGCCTCTTCAGCTCAGACTGCTGCAATGAATTAATCGGCAGAGGGCGCCAAAAACTGTGGTGACTGGCCACGTTGTATCCTCCAAAATATTTGGTATATATCTGTAGATGTCGTTTCGTTCAGAATAACAACCCAAGATTAAATTTTAAAAACATTAAAGATATTAAACAAATATTTATCCATATTTTGTTCTCTAATGCAATGACATTTTGTGTGGCATCTCTAGGCCTGGTTTCACAGACAGGGCTTTGATTAAGCCAGGATTAGCCCTTAGTTAAATTAGGACATTTAAGTAGCTTTTTAAAATGTGCCTTAAGAAAACCCATCACTGGTGTGAATCTTAAGACAAAACAATAGCACTGGCATATTTTAAGATGTGTGAGTGCAATTGCTTTCATTTAAAACAGCTCAAACATGCATTTTAGTCTGAGACTAGCCTATGAAACCGGCCATTAGTGTTGCTGACTGTCCGAATCATCTATAGTCAGAATACTAAGCAAATTGGTAAGTATCTTAAAGTATATAGTAGCTATATGTGAAAGGTTTGGTGTCAGAGCAGAGATCATTTCTATTCAGCAATAAATGTAAAGCATATAACTTTATTGAAGACCGTGGAACAACTTGTTATTAAAAAAAATAATAATAATGAATGTACAATATGTTATAGTTATTGTACAGGATGTGTTTAAGCAATGCTACAATCAAAAATAACAATAACAACAGCGATAATACAGCAATACTATATCTTGCCACTCAAACAAACAGATTGTAAATGTTTAGTGCTGCAGCTTTAATATCTATACAAACTTCTCAAAACAATTACAATATCAAGCTATTTATCTTATAGTTTAGTACTGTTCACTGACTTGTAAAAGTGAAAAGATAGATGTCTCTTTCAATGCTGAAGGGAGTGCATCAAGAACTGATGGCTCCTAAATATCATCCAATCAGTTCCTGATGCAGTATCACCAACATCAGAAAGTTCTCACAGATCAGGAACGCTGAACGTCCTCCAGAACCACCACAGTAGATACCCAGAACTTAGTGATGGATGGATTGATTTTGATGGACGAACAAGTCTGTGAATTTATAATTGAATGAATAACAAACACAAACATTTACATTTTTAATCCACAGGTTTCTTTTCCACAGGTGTCTCTATTGTATCCGATGGTGTGGGGGTGCTGTGTGTGACAGAACCCCAGCAGCGCCTGTGAGAGGGGTGACACACTTCTCACAGTTGCCAGCTGAGATTATGCCAAAACTCAGCCGCGCGAGACCGGGGTCCTCCAGCAGGGGGCGCACAGATGTTCACGTCCCAGAAAAGGTAACACATTCCAACTACTTTAGCTACTCGAGAGCTGTAAGCACATGTTGATCAACTTTGGTGTAACAGTGAAGCAGCTATTGTAAAATAACAGATTAGCATTTTAGCATTAGATTAGCACAGATGGAGTGTTGAAGTAAAAGTCAGATTCAGGTGCAGTTGAGGTGGTTTTCTCTCAGGTTTTGGGTGTAAACAGACTACTCAACCTCTACAGGTCAATGTGAGACTGTAAACACATCACAGTTGCCTGCAGAGATTACCCAGTCGGCTCATTGCATCTTTAGCTGTTTGTTGTGATGCTAGTCAATAACAAAGAGATTGGGTTTGAACTGAGCATTATCAGGGGTTCTCAACTGGTGGCTTGTGGCCCAAAAAAAGGTTGCACGTCTATTCTGATCAATGATAGGAAAACAATGCTTAATTGGAAAATAAATTTGCTTATCAACTTTTAGGGAGTGTGTGTGTGGGTTGGGTTGTGGTACAATACATCCAATTGTATCACATATTGTATTTTTTTTATTTTTATTTTTTTATGTGTAAAATAAAGCCTGTAGTAAACATAACTTGACTATACTTTGAAATTTTGTTCTACAACATACAGAAACACACTCACAACCCAAACTGCCTTATCTAGTTAACTGAAGTTTTCAAAAATGAACATAACTGTTTCAAAATTCACGTTTTCACTATGGGTGTGTAATTTATGCTGTAGAGCAAAACGTCAAAGTACAGCCAAGTTATGTTTACCACAGACGTTATTTTACACATAAATCGTAGATCTCCATTATAAAACCACATTGGAAAATCTTGAAGGAAGCAGCGGCGAATTAGACTCTAAAAAATGCTGGGTCATTTCAACCCATGTTTGGGTCAAATATGGACAAACCCAACCGTTGGATTAAATGGTTAAATTACATTTTTAAACCCAACCGTTGGGTTTGTCCATATTTGACCCAAACATGGGTTGAAACAACCCAGCATTTTTTTAGTGTTCCGGGTTCTGACGTCATACCTGCACCACTAAATTGTAAGAAAGGGGTGGGGTTTAAGCGGACTTAATGATTGGAGAAGTCTAGCATGGTTATGTTTGACATTTTGTTTACGAGGTCAAAACATTTATAAATAAATGGAACTTATGCACTGGTAAATGTTTGCAATAAGAACAATAACATGCAGATAGGGTGACGTTTTATTTCATGCCAACTTTAAAATCAGAGCATTCAGATTGGCGCAAATTTCACTTGGTAGAGACGCTTGGACAGTTTGCATGACGCGCTTATCTTCAAAATTTTGCAAAGGTGAATAAAATACATCACAGACTACATTAAATGTAGTCTGCAGCAAGGATGAACATGGTTTGTGCTATAGCCATGCGTTTTGTTAGTGATGAATTGAGCATGAAACTATCGAGTTGGACAGTTCAGGCTAATATTAATAAATGTCAATGTTCGATTTTAACTCTTTCCCTGCCAGCGTTTTTTTTTTTTTTTTTTTATGTTGCCAGCCTACGCCAGCATTTTTAGTCATTTTCACAAAAGTTTCCCAGAATATTTTGTTGTATGAATATCTGAACATGCAATATATCAAAAGAAACCTGCTTTTTTTTAAAAAAATATATGTTTTATTCTGGCTTCATGCATTCTTTTTTATCAACACTTGAATGTGGGTAAGTTTAATCAAAAAAGCAACGTTTTTAAGCAAAAAGCTGGGAAAATCGCGTTTTTGTCAAAGACTACATCTGGATCATATTCAGAAAGATCATCTACACCCCTAACGCTTGCACAGTCCTATACCACTTGATTTATATGCTGTTTATTGTTGATGATCACATTATTTTTCATATGCATCTGCTTACATATGCGATCGCTCGTTTCTGCTTCTTCTTTGCCTGTGTTTTTATCTGGAGATTCTGTACTCTTTCAGGAGAGGTGTAATAGTATGGAAGCTTATTTCCGCCACCGAATAAAAAATAAAAAAGGTAATTGCGACTTTTTATCTCACAATTCTGAAATTTTTTCTCACAATTGCGAGTTATAAAGTCAGAATTGCGTGATATAAAGTCAGAATTGCGTGATATAAAGTCGCTATTGCGAGTTATAAAGTCAGAATTGCGAGTTATAAAGTCAGAATTGTGTGATATGAAGTCGCTATTGCGAGTTATAAGGTCAGAATTGCGTGATATGAAGTCGCTATTGCGAGTTATAAAGTCAGAATTGCGTGATATAAAGTCAGAATTGCGTGATATGAAGTCGCTATTGCGAGTTATAAAGTCAGAATTGCGTGATATAAAGTCAGAATTGCGTGATATGAAGTCGCTATTGCGAGTTATAAAGTCTGAATTGCGGGATATAAAGTCGCTATTGTGAGAAATAAACTTGCAATTCTGGACATTATAACACGCAATTGGGAGATATAAAGTCAGAATTCTGAGATATAAACTTGCATTTCAGAGGAAAAATGTCAAGTCTTTATAATTGCTCGCAATCACACAATTCTGAGAAATTGGGAGATATAAAGTCAGAATTGCGAGATATAAACTCACAATTGCGTGTTATAAAGTCGGTATTGTGAGATGTTAACTCGCAGTTGTGAGATAAAAAGACGCAATTATCTTTTTTAAATGTTTTATTCTGTGGCGGAAACAAGCTTCCATATAATAGCGCCCCCTACCTTATAGCAGTGATAAAACGGAAAGCCGTAAAAACGTGTCATTGGCAGGGAAGCGTTTTCTCATCAATGATGAGTTAACTTGTCAAAGGGCAGGGAAAGAGTTAAAGTCGGCATGAAACGGAAGTCACGCTTGTCTTTTCTTCCCTATTGTGACGTATATTGAAACAAAATGGCTTCTCGAATGAGAAAAAATTTTTGAAACAAGATTAGATTGTTTGTCGTTTGCAATTGCTTCGATCTCATCTGACTTACTAGTTGCTGGAGGCGAGGAGAGAAGACATGTCGTTATAAGGACACAATGTTGTGAACAAAACAGATGAATAATTAATAATAAACACTGCAATATTCCATAAATAAGTACTCCCAGAGATGGTGACTTTAAGAAAATGTTTGTTTTACGATAAACAGTTTTGCTACGGTATTAGGTCCTGAATCCAATTGAGAGGCACTGTTTTATATATAGTTGTTTTTGTGTTTGTGACCGCATGATAGTCGAAGTGTGCCGTAAACAAACACTCTAATCCGTTAAGGCCGAGAACCGACGCGTGAGGGGCAGTTTAGCCTCTCCCAGCTGGTGAGCTGAAGGGCGTCTCCCCAAGGCATCTGGCGTGTGTCCCCCAATAACCCCCACACCCCCTCAACTACACACACACACACACACACACACACCCTTCCTCAGCAAGACTGTGATCCCCGCTGCTGTCAGGGCCCGCTGGTCGCCATGGCAAACTCACAGGAACCCGAGCCTGTATTGTCAGGGCGTCCGATGTGTATGTCCCACTCGCCGTCTCTTCTT